GCTACATCATGCCATGTCGCGTCATGTCAGGCTACATCACGCCATATCACAACATACTATGTTACACCAAACCACTTCATACCACGTCATGACTAAGTAACAGTACTTGGCTAAGCTAAGTTAGCCAAGTCACATCACGCTATGTCCTGTCTCGTCATGGTCCATCTCGTCACATCATGTCAAGTAGCAGTACTTGTCTGAGCTACATTAGCCTAAGTGGCTATGAAATGCTTATCTCACGCCATGTCTCATCACATCACGCCATGTCAACATATGTCAGACGACACCACCCCAGGTCACATCATAACTAAGTAACGATACCTGGATTAGCTAAGTTAGCTTACATTAGACCTGCTATGACATGGTACGTCATGTGTCATGACACATAACACGATGCTACGTCATGCTACATCTGGCTACATCGTGCTACATCATGTTACATCAGGCCACGTCAGGCTATGTCAGGCTACGTCATGCTACATCATGCTACATCGTTCTACGTCACGCTACATCAGGCTACATCATGTTACATCATGTCACGTTAAATCCCGCCATGCCACACCACATTACGGCCGGATAACATTCTTGGCTAAGCTAAGTAAGCTAAGCTACACATACTGCGCCACACTATAGCATGTCACATGACACCAAGGCAAGCTACGCTACGCCACATCATGCTACGTCATCAGTGCTAGGCTAACTACTGTTAAGTCCTGTTGGTAGCTTATTCACAAAGACATGAGGATCAAACTCTGAGGAACAGATTGTAATTTATTGGAGAGATTCTACTGAAGGAAAGAGGTTTTTAAATTTGTTTTCTGTGGGACATGATTTAATCAACTGGTCGGTTTTTATGCATGTTTGAAGCCTCCTGGGCTTTGTCCAGTCTCCCCTCTCCCTGTTTTCGTCTCCCCTCTCCCTCGGCACTGGGTTTGGCGTCGCAGTGTTGAAATGAAGTGCTGTTTCCAGACCTTTCTTTGCTTTACATCATCCCCTCTCTGTCCTGTTCCTCCCTCCGTCCCGTCTCCTCCCAAAACATCCACCAAAGACCTTCATCGCTCTCATCTTCCTCACGTCTCTTTCCTAACAAAGCGCTGGTTAATAACCGGGAGGCTGCAGTAGATGGAATGCGTCTCGCTGCTTTCATAACCTTTCTCCTCCCACTTTCAACTCGTTTTAATTTGCTCAACCAGCATCTCTGCAATAACTTACAGAAACCACACATCCAACAATTGATGTCCTTCATATAAGACATGACAGCTGCTCCTTTTATTTCTGACAGCGCTGCAGAAACACGTCGTCCAGTAATGAGATTGTTGCTGCACCTATTAGTTCATTTAAGGGCATAAAATGAATAATAATATTGGAACTCCGTGTGTTTGCTTTGGCTCGTCTCAGCGCAGATCAAGGACGAGGCCTTTAGAAGTCGTCACTGTTGAACTATTACCGCTTCAATCCTGAGAGAAACTTGAAAACAAGATGATTGTTTGGTCATAGAGTTTTATGGGTGATTTATAGGAGAGCAGAGGTTCTCTCTCTGGCTCCCCAACACCAGCCGAGGTTGAAAGAATTTCTACTTTATTCCATTTTCAAGAGTCAATAATCATTTGTTGTTGTCATTTTGGACAGTTTTAAGTCAAAATATCTAAAAACTGAAACCTTGTCTGGTCCAGCTTCACCACATCAGGTTCTGCTGATGTTAGAGCCTCAACAGGTGGTGAGATGTGACCAGAGACTGGGTTCTAGTAGAACCATGGATCCATCTATAGACAGACACTGACAGGAACTTTGTGGATCAGCGCCAGCCTGGTTGGACATTCTGCCCTTTTGTTTTTCCATTTTTAGTGGCCAATGATTGTTCATTATTGTTTATTTGGACAATTAGGTGTAATGTTGGGCCCAGTTCGTTTAGTCATTTTAAACAATTTTAAGTAGTTTGGGACAATTTTAAGTCAGTTTTAGACCAATTTTGGATCATTTTCTGACAATTTTTGGACAATTTAGGTAATTCTGGGATTAATATTTGACATTTTAGAGTCATTCTGGAGAATTCTGAGTCATTTTAAACACATCTCAGTCATGAAGGACAACTATGAGACATTTTGGGACCTGGAACCTGGTCTGGTCCAACATCACCACATCAGGTTCTGCTGATGTTGGAGCCTCAACAGCTGGAGAAACATGGATCCATCCATAGACAGACACTGACAGGAACTTTCTGGGTTGAAAAATTCAGCACTTGTTTTTCAATTTTCAAGGTCCAATAATTAAAAATGTGTGCTCTGCTGGATCCATTCATTCGTTCTGATCTGATGAAGATATTCTGTCACCACATTTCATGGCTGTTGGAGTTTCATTTCTGGAGATATTAAACCGTTAAATTGGCTCCACAGGTCAGATGTTGTTTTTAAAGTGTGAAAATACAAAAACTTCCAGGTCAGAAAACATGAAGTTCTCTGACAGAATTTAGCCTTGGGTCCTGGTTAACAGATAATCAGACTGAAGCCTGAGCTGAGCCAGACTGGGCCTGTAGTCTGGTTCGTCTAACCCTTCTCATTCCTCTGTGAACGCGTCTCCGCTGCGTTTCGTGTACGTCCATGGGTGTGCGACTGATGCTAACAAACAGCACTAATGAAAACGAATGAATCTTTCTGTGCCTCTGACACTAGAGCGTCCCTGCCCAACATGTATGCATCGAAGCGCTCAGAGACTTCACCGACTGTGTGTCACGCTGTGTAGGAGGCGACTGGTTGGCCGCAGAGTTAATTCAATATGAGCTGTTCTGGCTAAAACTCACTTATGATGCCACGTAAAGTCATGGGTTTGTGCTCCGCTGCTGAAAACAAAGGTGCAGAAGTCGCTGTGTGAGGGTTTGACAATGAAAACATGTTGGTTCAGCTTCCTTTGTCATGTTTTGTTTGTTCTACGATTCCAGCCTCTTCTGTTTTGGAGTCTTATTACAAAATGTTCTCGTTTTATTAAATTACAGGTAATATTTAGTAAAACCACAGAAACAACGTGTTAGTTTACATGTTGACTGTTAAAAAAAAGGTTTAAAAAATCTGTATTTTTAATCCATTCTTTTACTTTCTGACCTTAAAGTTACTCTATTTTCAACAGGATTTAAATTAGGAGGGAAAAGGTCTTTATTTCACACATATTTGTTTTGTTGTTGTTGTTTTTACTGGTTTTGAATGTTATAATGATCCACTTTTTTATTTTTCGGCACAGTTTTTTTTAATTCTGGGTTGTGTAATCTCCTCATCATCTTCCTTCCTCTTCTTTTCATTCTTGTACAGTGTGAAGTGCTAGTTTTCCTTCTCTCCTTCTACATTCCTCTGTTCTTTTAAACTCTTTGTTTCTTCTCACCGTCCTTCTCTTCATCTCAGCAGAACCGATTACATCTGAATAAACGCTGCCACTTCTCTCTTCCTCAGATTTACAACCACGACCTGGAGAAGGTGGAGGACTTCGAGGGTCTCTCTGATTTCTGCCAAACATTCAAACTGTACAGAGGAAAGACTCAGGATGAAGGAGAAGATCCGTCCGTGGTCGGAGAGTTCAAGGTGACGTCAGAGTTTTGTTCTTCACTGTGAAGTCGGCGCTCTGTTTCTTTATCGTATTTAAAGGTCCGTCAAAAAATGTCTCATCGTCTCACGTCACGGCGGAGTTTAAGTATCTCAGGAGGGTGGATGTGAACGGATCCAGCTGAGGTGGTTCAGATGCCTCCTTACCCTCCACTTCCATTAACTCTGTCTGCCCTCTGCTCCACCAATCAGGGGATGTTCAAGATCTACCTGCTGCCAGACGACCCCTCTGCTCCGGCTCCCCCCAGACAGTTCAGGAAACTCCCTCCAAACGGCATCGAGGAGTGTTTGGTCCGGGTCTACATCATCCAGGCTCACGGGCTGCAGCCCAAAGACACCAACGGGAAGGTAGGAGGGGGGACGGACGGGAGGCCTCGAGGCCACCAGGATGCTCACATGAACAGATTAATGGATGTGATGCAAACCTTCTGTCCCGCTCTGTTCCAGTGTGACCCCTACGTGAAGATCAGTTTGGGGAAAAAGACCATCAGCGACCATGAGAACTACATCCCCTGTACGCTGGACCCCGTCTTCGGAAAGTACGACCAGTCAAATCCCTTCCTGGAGCTGTTTCTCTCCCTGTGGCTGAAACCAAATGTCCGACCTTAGGAGGCTTTCTTTGTCGTTTTATTTGTCTCTCTGCACGTCGTTTAGATCCACGAGTACAGTTCAGGTTCAGGTTCAGTTTGACTCATCACAGACCAGATAAACAGACATTTAAATCTACCTTGGACAGTTTTTTTATCTGCAGGCTCCTTCTGATCCCTTAGTTGAGGAGTTTGATGGACTTGGACTAAACGTGAATCTGTGGGTGGGGTGTTGAGTCGCCTTTAGCTGGTCTGACTCACAGACGTGAAGCTTCTATTGTGACCAAACAGGTCACATGACTTCTCCTCTTTTCTATCAGCGCGTTGACTTTTATCTACAATTAAAGCTTCACCTTCATACTATGAATGTGTTTGAGGTACAGGCCCCTCATATGTTAGATGCCTGCTTTAGAAAGCTGCTGAAAATATTCTCAGTATAAATAATAACTTATTGTTGGAACCTTTTTAAATGAGCTGAATTTATGTGGAGCTGCCCTGAAAGTGCCCAACAGTTGGATCTCCTGAAGCTCTGCTTGTTTTTTCTTCTCCTTGTTCCCCAAAACATTTCTTCCTTTCACTATGTTTTTTTAAAGGGGCACCGTTGCTGCTTCCTGGGCTTGAATTAGTTAAAAGAAATAGAAACAAACCAGAGCGTTTTTCAGACTCAGCGTTGTAGGAACTACTCTTTAGCTGAAACTAAGCTTTAATGTGTCGCCTTCCCTTCATTGTGAAAACCTTTACAGCACTCTAGTGGAAATAAACGCCTTTAAATCAAATCAAACCAACTGATGCTCCCTGAAAACGAGGCCTCACATCCGCTGAAAGTCTGAGACGCTTTGTTGCTCTGTTGATCAGCTGACTGATAACTTTATTGATAAATCATCACACAGCAGCTCTTTGTCATCTAACAATCCTCTCACCTCAGTAGGTATTTTAACTGTCATGTTATTGTGGTTTCAGCAGAAGCAAGCTGCTGCTGCGTTGCTCCTAGACGGTGGATTTGCTCTTCACAGCTCAGACACACTGATCTGCTCCGTGAACACACATTTAACCTGAGAGCACAGCATGTGTGAAACATCTCAGAGACCGTCTGGTCTCTTTTCCCTCCTCCTGTCCTCTTTGTGTTTTCACACCAGTAGGGGGCACTACACACAAACCAATCACAGCCAGTCTCAACGACCGACTGAAAAGTCCTGACGTGACATATTCCTGTGCCTTAATTAAAGTGTGAGGAGTCGATTAGCGTCGCTCTCTTCAGACATGAGACGTCTTCAGAAGTTCTTTTCACCAGAACTCTGCTTGTTTCTCACTTTGCAGAAACAACAACATAAATATATACAGAGAGAAACACAACACAGCTCTCCTGCTGGACTTTATGTGATGTTTGAAAGCAGCTTCTGTAAAACCAGCTCGACGGGAAACATCAGTAAAATGTAAAAGTAGTTATCAGATATCAGGTTATGTCACGTTACGTCTCCTCATGTCAGCGTGACTCCTCACGTCCCAGCAGGTTACATTAGGTCACGCCACCAACACGTCACGTCAGCTTACATCAGAATCAGAAACAGATTTATTGCCAGGTGTAGTTTACACCATACGAGGAATTTGTTCTGGTGGGTCGGTGCAACAATACATATAGAATAAGGTCCAATGGACAAGATGAAAATATAAAACTAGCTACAAAATGAAATTAATAAATATAACTGTCATCCTGTTGCATCATTTACGTCATCACACAGCATCATGTTGTCATGGTGACGCCTGACATCCCAGCTGTCTTCAGGTGATGCCACGTCATCGATGTCACAAATCATGACGTCATCCCAGCGACAGATCACACAGATGACGTCACTGGTTGAAGTTTAGAGTCCAGCGTTGTTCATCACCCCACGTTAGATCTCAGACATGGCTCCCACAGACCTCGGTGTGGATCCTTTAAGCGCTGCTGTGACTTTCTGTTCCTGATCCCCAGGCTGTTCGAGCTCACCTGCTCCCTCCCTCTGGAGAAGGACCTCCGGGTGATGCTCTACGACCACGACATGATCACCAAAGACGAGAAGATCGGGGAGACGCTGATCGACCTGGAGAACCGCTTCCTGTCCAGATACGGAGCCCTGTGCGGCCTGCCGCAGACCTACTGTGTGTGAGTGGATCCCTGCACCGGGCCAAGTTGTTGGTGTGATGTATGCAGCGCACATCCACGGACATTCAGACGCTGTGTTTGTGTCTGCGGTGGCTCAGGTCCGGGGTGAACCAGTGGAGAGACCAGCTGACGCCCAGGCAGCTGCTGTTCAGGCTGTGTGAGCGACGAAACCTGAGGAAACCCGTCTACGAGGAGGACTCGGTCTGGTTCAGAGGGCAGCGGTACACGGCGGCAGACCTCGGTGAGTCTGGGATAAAGAACGAGCTCAGGGGCAAAAACAGAAATTAAGAAACGACGTTCAGGAAAAGCAGAAAAGACTCATTTCATCGTTCAGTGTATTTAATGGACAAGTTTGTTTAAAGCATAAAATTAAAAACAGTAAAACAGTAAAGTGCTGAAAACTGCCCACATCACGCCGTGTCATGTGATCTCACACTCATCAGATCACGCTGCATGTCACGTTAACCCACAACATGTCACGCCACGCCAAGTCGCTTCACGTCATGCCATAGGTAGGACAGGTGTATCCCCAACAGGCTCCGCCCTCTCACACTGGCAGCACCTGATTGGACGACTATCTGCTCCTGGGTTCAAACTGGACCAACATGGCGGCTCGTTTAGAAGCTCATATTGTGAAACAGCCCATGAGCTGCTGAATCTTTGTTTTCAACGGTGAGGTTAAAAGTTTTCCAGGAGTTTCCAGAAGCATCAAGCTGCTGCCGATGCTCCCAGAATGCATCTCACTTGATCCTCTTCTTGGGTCCTCTGTCACACTGGTCCTCCCTCATCTCGCTCCTCTTCCTCCCCATCACTGTCCTCCCCGGTCCTTCCTGGTCCTTCCTGGTCCCCCCGGTCCTCCCTGGTCCCCCCTGGTCCTCTGCATGAGGACAAGGCCAGTGGACCACCTGAGGAGCAGAGCTGTGAGATAAATGTTCGGGTCCGTTTCCACCACATGTTCCATGACTGCTCCTCTTCCTCCCCATCACTGTCCTCCCTGGTCCTCCCCGGTCCTCCATGGTCCTCCATGGTCCTCCATGGTCCTCCCTGGTCCCCCCCGGTCCTCCTCGGTGTGAGGACGAGGCCAGCGGACCACCTGAAGAGCAGAGCCGTCAGATAAATGTTCGGGTCCGTTTCCACCACACATGTTCCACGGCGGCTCCTCTGCCAGCTCATGGTTGTCGTTCTGGTGATTTATGGCGCGACCTTGTGCGAGCGCGGCCGAGCCAACGTCAACATCGCGGTCGTCTTCTGGTTAGCGAGCAGCGCCGCCGCGTTCTCTTTCCACAGTTGCCGCGGTTACCGTGCGTCAGCCGGCTGTCCGTCAAACGCGGTTGCTAATTGGCTGAACGGCTGCTCTTCCTCCCTCCCTCCAGGTCTCTGCTTTTTCTTTCTCTATCTTTTCTCTTTTCTTTATTCGCTCTCTGCTCTGGTTCCTTCTTTACTTTTCCTCTCATCCCTCTTTTCTGTTTTCACTGTTTAAAGATATTTGCTGGAGAAAAACGATGATGAATATTGTTTTGTTGAATTACAGGTAAAATCACAGAAAAAGTATTGATTTACATGTTGATTGTTAAAAGAAAAATCTAAATTAAGTGCTTTAACAAATGCAAATTCTGTTATAATGTGTGATAATAAAACGGTTTTACTGTATTTTTTGTATTTTTCTTTTCTTCGCTGACTGATTTCTTTTAAAGGCTGTTCTAACATGTGTCTCTTCTCACCTTTCATTTCTTCTTCCTCTTTCTGTTTTTGTCCACATGTTCTCTGCTCTGGTTTTTCCTTCCTACTTGTGTTTGCTCTTCTGTCTTCTTCCATCTTTGCTTCGCCCACATTTCTCTCCATCTCCTCTCTCTTCCTTCTTTGCTTCATTTTTAGTTTCCTTCCATCTCCCCCTCCTTTCTTGCTTCCCTCTTTCTTCAGTTCTTCTCCTCCCGTCCTACCTTCCTCTCATATCTCACCTCCATTGTCTCCTTTTCCCTTCGCTGACCTTCTTCTCCTCAGTTTCCTCTCCTCAGTCTTTCCCTCCTCTTTCCTCACAGCCGAGGTGACTCTGAGTTTACGGTCATAAACTTTTGATATTTTCATTTTGCTTGGACGCAGCTTGGATTTTCCTCCTCCAGTCGTGATGCAGAAGAAGTCGAGGAGCAGCTCGTGTTCGTGTGTCGCTGTCGGTGAATGATTCCAGTGTGAAGCCTCCCAGTCCGCCCACTGCTCGGCCTCCGCTCAAACCCTAATCTCTGTTTGTTTTCAGAGGACCAGAACGTGTCCAAGCGCCACCTCGGCCCCATTAAGGAGCGGCTGGCGCTGCACATCCTGAGGAACCAGGGGCTGGTACCAGAACACGTGGAGACCAGAGCCCTGTACAGCCCCCTGCAGCCGGACATCGAGCAGGTAGCCGTCCAGCACCGTCTTTGTCTCTGCTGTACAGCTTCATGCTGCCGTTTCTGTCTCTGCCTTCTGATTGGCTGTTGGTGCTGTCCGTTAGGGCCGTCTGATGATGTGGGTGGACATCTTCCCCAAGTCTCTGGGACCGCCGGGACCCCCGTTCAACGTCACGCCACGCAAGGCCAAGAAGTACGAACACGCACACCCTGATAATCAATCAGCCAATCAGCTTGTCAGTCTGTCAATCAAGCAGTTAGTCAGCTTGTCCACTGATCAATCAGTATGTGAGTCAGTTAATGTGTCCACCAGTCAGTCAGCATGTTTAATCAATCAACCAGTGAACAGTTATGCTAATCAATAAGTCCATTAGACAGGCAGGCAACATGCCAATCAATCAGCCTGTCAATCAATCAGCCTGTCAATCAATCGGTCAGCAAGTGATGGTGTTGATCAGTTATTCAGTCAGTCCAATCAACAACCAATCGATCGATCTTCTGATTATTCCATCAGTCAGTCAGCTGATCAATCAGGAGGTCCAGCAGCCTTTCAGCCATCTTGAACACTAGTGATCGATACGAACAGGCGGATCAATATGTTTGGTTTTTGTCCAGGTTCTTCCTGCGCTGCATCATCTGGAACACCAGCGACGTCATCCTGGACGATGTCAGCATCAGCGGCGAGAAGATGAGCGACATCTACGTCAAAGGGTGAGGCGACGGAACCGATCGATCGATCGATTCATTGATCCTCCTGTTTCTGCTCTGACTGACCGGCGATCAATACTGTCTGTCAGCTGGCTGGACGGACACGAGCACAACAAGCAGAAGACGGACGTCCACTACCGCTCGCTGGGCGGCGAGGGCAACTTCAACTACCGCTTCCTGTTCCCCTTCCACTACTTACCTGCTGAGCAGCTGAGCGTCGTCGATCGCAAGGTAACGGAGGCTCACCTGGACAGGTGGCCACGCACTGACACAGACACACACAGCCACACACACAACACACACACAACAACACACACAACAACACACACAAACAACACACACACAGCCACACACACAACACACACAACAACACACACAGCCACACAAACAACACAAACGACATGAAGAAGACGGACGTTCAAATTTACATCAAATTTTTTAAAAAGAAATTTAAACACAAATTTTTTATTTATGTTTTAACAATTTACTGTTAATTGGTTGTTAAATTCCAGGTGCTAATATTAGAGGTATTAATCGACATGTTAATAATAGAAGCTGATTATTTGTTCTTTATTTAATCAGCAGAAAAACAAACTTTACAGATATTTGCTGTTCTGCACATTAATGATTTAATGATGGTAAATCCTTCTTAGCTGTTATTTTAAATAGTTTTTGTAAAATAAAATCTATATTTCATATATTTATATTGTCTACAATAAAAAAACAATAATATCAAATTAAGTTGAACAAACTCCACAAAAAACAGACTTAAACTCTAAATACAATTTAAAAAATCCTTATTTTACAAACATTAGCCAGAATTTGATAGAAAATCATTAGTTACTGAAAACACTCGTTACTGTTTTGCTAAATTACTGATAATATCTCGTAAAATACAATAAAAATGATTATTAACACGTCAACCATAAACTAGAAATAACATCCATAATTTTGCTCTTTTTCGATGTTTAATCAGAATTTTTTTAATTTGTATTTTGTTAAATTAAAAATAATGTCTCATAAAACATATTAATTTACATGTTGAATGTAAAAATTATTAAATAAATTGGCCACATGAAAAATGTGTATTTCACAAATCTGTGCATGACATTTTTATTGTATTAAAATTGAGCAGCTGTGTTCGGTCCTCGCCTTGCTGTCGGCTCTGAGCTTAAACCTTCAGCTCCTCTAACTCGTCTACAGAGGACTCAGTTAGCAGCAGTAATGAGACGACGGAGCGGCGACGTGAACGTTGTTCAGTCTCTGAGACTCAACGAAGCGCTGAAACAACACGACTCTGAAATCTGGAACAACAAGCCGGCCGGCGGCTGCTTGCTTTGGCCTCGGCCCGAGCCGGGCTTCACGCTCGGAGCAGCGTCTTCAGTCAGGGAGCGGCTGAGAAGACAAGAGGGAGCTTTAAAGAGCAGCTCTGAGGTTCTGAAGCCCTCAGTGGTGGAGTCAGTCAGATCAGCGCTGCTATCGATGAGGATCACTGGTGTTCTGGTCGCTCCGTTAGTCCTCTGAGTCACCATGTTCTGGTTCTGACTCCTACAGTATGAACTTTAAATGACAGCTTTACCCTCCGTCTCAGATCGGTCTGCAGCTCACTCAGAAACGTGGCTGTTTACAGTCCTGTAGTTTGATATTTACGGTCAGATATGGCAAAGAAAGCCTGAGATGATCAGCATCATGTTCTGATCCAGTAAGCGCTGCTGCTCTCGTCACAGAATTCTGGTTTTGTCACTAAAAACGTAAAAATCCATCAAACTAAAGGGACTGTGAGGAGATCTTTCTTCAACACGTTAGAATGGGTTAGGGTTCTCTAGTTTCACTTCCTTGTAGTCTCTGCTCTTCACAGAGCCGTCCCTGCAGAAAACATCCAGTTTTACCTTGTTAAGGTGTTTTATTTGACTTCAGGCTTTCATACGTAAATCACCTTCTTCAGAGAGAGGCAGGGACGTCATGGATCTAAACTTCAACCTAACTTATTATCTCAGCTTCGTGTTAGATTTGCCCATAAGGTGGCTCCTGAGAGGGTAAAATACTGTAAATGTAACCGAGTCGCTCCATGAAGAATCCACCAGTTGGTCCAACAAACAGGAACAAGGTCATGAAATGTGTTAAACTCTCCATCACATCACACCACTAGAAGCACCAGACCACTGCTTCTTTATCAGTGTGTCCAGAGGGCAGCCGATGAGGTGACCGGTTCAGAGTGTTTACTCCCCCTGCTGCTGCCGCTGCTGCTGCTGCTGCTGCTGCTGCTGCTGCTGCTGCTGCCGCTGCTGCTGCTGCCGCCGCTGCTGCTGCTGCTGCTGCTGCGGCGTCATGCACAGTGAGCACATGGAGAGGATTTAGATCTAACTTAGAGCGTCGCTGTGAAGTCGCTGAGCAGACGAGTCGTCATCAAACCAGACGGACGTTTTAACACGTATCTGCAAAGATATTGTTCTGCAGACCTGCTGGCCGCGGTCCTCCTGGTTCTGCTCGTTGAGGCTGGAGATGGCAGAACCTTCAGGATGTTCACATGAAAATTACACACAATTATGTTGTTTTAATTCAACACACAGAAACAACAGCCTTATGACAACTTCTAATGACATTAACGAGCTTTTCGTCCTTAACAAATAAATGAATATTATTTTTATTATTTTGTTTGTTTGCTTTTATATTTCTACTGTTATTAGCCTTTTCTTTTATGGATTCATTTTTCATAAATATTGCTTTATAGTGCCACATTATTTATTTTTCATTTTTTTCATTCTTCTTTTTATTTCCACTTTTATTTTCTTAAAAATAAATGAAAAGTTAACAGGACAAAGTGTAGTTGTTGAATTGATGCTTTTCTTCAGAGACACATAATTCACCAGATAGCTCGTCAGTGTGCGAGGTCGTTAAGTTCAGCTTTGAGTTTGTGGAAAACCTCCCCGAGTGTCTTCAGCTGAAGCCGCAGGAGATTAGTCGTCCATCGGGTGTGAAGATAGAGAGGACGACTGAGGGAATGGAAAGAAGAGCGATCCGGTTGCGTCTGAGAGTCCGGTGTGATTCTAGCGCCGGTGCTAACGGGTCTGATAGCACCGCTGAGCGTCGGCTCCGGGGCAAGTGGCCGCCTTGTGAGAGATGTGTCGACGGAGTGCTGCTCCAGAACCCTCATCAGCACACATTCAGACAGCAACACGGAACCATGTGGTGTAGCTGCACACAGACATGTCAGTTTAGCAATACAGAATCTAATTAAACTGATCACAGTGATGTCTGCTGGACGGGCATCGGGTCTCATTGTGTTCACATCAGGTGTCATATACAAGCAGCTTCACAGGAGGACGCTGGTTCTCTGTGTTGTCTCTGGTCCACAGCTTGTGCAGCCACAAACTGAGCCGATAGCCGAGGGAATGTGCAGGTGTTCACACCGTTTTCTCACGAAATGCACGTTATTTGTATTTTCCATCATGAGCAGAGCAACACTTTATGCTGGTTTCCTTTAATGTTTACCACCTCTGTAACCCGCCCTCCTGCCTCTTGGTGTTTCTGCAGGAACATTTCTGGAGCTTGGATAAAGCCGAGACCAAGCTGGCTCCTAAGCTCACCATCCAGATCTGGGACAACGACAAGTTCTCCTTCGACGACTACCTCGGTAAAACTGATGTGACGCAGCGAGCTGTTCTGTTGTTTGTCCAGCGTTTTGTGTTCATTAAAACAGCACAAGATGGTTCAAGTTAAAAGTCTTCATGTTCAGACCAAAAACTCATCATATTACACTGAAAACACGCTTTAAAGAAGTTCAGGATCAAGCTGCACTGTAAAAAGAATTAGAACAAAAAGTATTAACTTACAAATATTCACATCAAAAATGTTTGTAAATGTTTATTCTGGTTTTTACCACATCTGACTACATTTGATTATTTTACTGGAATTCAATCAAATGACAATATTGTTGTTCTACAGATATTTAGCCGACATTTATAAGAAAATTATGTGAAAAGATTTTAACAGTTAGTTTTTATTCTGTGAGTCTGTGAATGGATCTCCGTCCTGCAGGTCAGAACCTCGTCTGAGGGCCTTTTGTTGGTAGAAACACACCCAGCTCTCTGTCTGACAGGGTTTCTGTCGTTCCTGGTCCAGAGTTTGGGCGGTAAATCTATCCAGGGCGCCGTGAGTGCGACGTGCGACTGTGATAACATTTATCTTCACAATTACCACTCTTCCATTTCCGCTGCGTCGGCACATTTGGCAGAGACCACGGCCCGGTTCTGTTTTTTCTTTGCCGAGACTCAAGCTGTCAAAATGCTGCCTTTCCTTCACCCCTGACGCCGGCCCGGTCCGCTCTCCTCTCGCTGCTCGGCTTGGGTTTCGTCCTCCTCGGGGACGACGGTGTGCAGACTGAGCGTCCCTCTGAGGACCCAGATGAGGAATCCAGATCCAGACCCGCTGCTGTCCGCCACCGTCTCGCTCGGCTTTGTTCGCCTCCGACCGTCTGCGGCTGTGTGGCCGCCTCAAAGCATTTTTTCCGTGCCTGCCTGTCCTCAGCTCGTCGAACCGGACCGCTGGCGGTTAATCTTCCAGCTCGGTGTGAGGGTCGGACACGAGCCTTTTTCCTTCGGTCACGCTGTCGAGCTGCAGCGGGTTCTGGAAAAACGCTTCCAGCCTCGTCTGTCCTCAGGCCACAACCCCTCAGAACGCTGCTAACTGCCCAGAACTCACTGCTCAGTAATTAGTCATCAGGCTGGATAAGTGGACGGGTGGTTCTGCTGAGCTTCTCACATCTCCACCAACAGAACCACAGAGTGTCAGACTCCACATCATGTCGGTGTCTCATCAGAAAGTCAAGGCTCAGCTCAGGTGATTATCATGAATTATTAGACGCTGCCCTCCTGGTCCTGGTCCTGGTCCTGGTCCTGGAGGAACCTGGTTGACATTCAGGCTACTTATAAGCAGATATTCAGAACTTGAAGCTTGTCCTGGTTTCTATCAGACCCCCTCAGACCAAACCTGGTTCTGCAGCGCTGAGTTAACCGTCTGAGGATCGTGTTCAGGACACTCGGTGGTTCGCTGCATCATCGGCAGTAATGAGGACGTTGTGATGAAGACTGACCCAAACCAGAAGGATTTGGTGTTTGTTCCAACCATCACCTGCGGTTCTGAGCTCTGGGTCGGGACCTGAAGAAGGAGAGACCAGCAGCCAGATGAGTTACTCAGAGTAGAACTACTGCTGCAGCAACATGATCCAGCGTAGGTTGTTCAGCATCCGGTCAGGATCCTTCTGGGCGACTTCCTGACCAGTACCAGGGGTTACGTATCTGACCTGGCCCAGGAGGAGCTGGAAGGTTCTGCTGCTGCTGTTAGACCTCAGACTCCAGTATTTAAATATGATCAGCAGCTGCAGTTAGAAGAACGGAAACTCTCCATTCACTGACAACACGTTCATCATTCACATTTCAACTGTGTTTGTTCACGGCTGTAGAACTGGACTGTAGTCACATGACCACAACAAAGTCTCATTTTTGGGTTTGTTGATGAAAC